GACAAGGACCTTCCTCCAAGATAGGGTAGAGCTTGTCTGTGAGTTTTCTGTCTCGATTATGGAGGTGACACCAGAGAAGTGAATCGTTCACTTCAGGCCAGAGGGTACAGCTTGTCTAAGAGTTCTCTGTTAGGATTATGAGAGTGACAACAGAAAAGTGGCTCTCGATAATTTCAGGCAGCTTGTAACCATCTAGTAGAGAATTTAAAAGTGCATTTATTCAGTGTATCTTTTTAGTCAACTTATACTGTTTTATTCATTTTAAAATTTAACCCCATTTGTTTAATTTCCATCCAGGTCTTGCATACGCGGTGAATAAAGCCATGATTTCATCGTCGTCATCGTGGTCATGTTCCTCGGGACATCCTCATCTTCCTCCTTTTCCTTCTTTTTCTCATATGGACAAACTCCTAGGAAATTGTACATCCTTGTACGTATAATAGAACTGCTATAGATGTTTCATTGAACTGCTGTGATGCCTCACCTGACTTTTCACAGATCCAGTCGAGATACTCACGGACGTCCGTGTAATAATCATACACACCATCGTAGCCGACCTCATCCACATCCTCCATTGTCAAATTGAAATCTGAGACATGAGGTACACGGAGTTGGGCGAGGAGGGTGGGGGTGCATTCGGCATTCTCATTGATCCACTGGTTCCGGTAGGGTTTGCATACTTCCCCTAATCTGTGAACTGTGAAACTGGAGCAAGCTTATCGAGCCACAATGATCGACACGTGATGGAAGTAGCAAAAGTGCAAAAGATCCCCTCCCCCCCCCCGTAGCCGAACCGCGCCTACATTTCTTACCACTTTTCGCTGAACGCTTTACATCCACGTAGGCATAAGTCCGGTGGATGTGGAAGGTGGATACCAGATTTTCCCAGCTTTATAGCAAGATAAAGGCACGTTCTGCGATTAGTCGCGAATTCGCTCTTGCTCTGCGACCAAGTAGCATTGCGCAGTGGTAGCAGCGCGAAACAGAGTGACTAGGGAACTCATGCCGTGGTCTGTCTCATCGGCCCCATCCACACTCACTGTCCCCGCCTGCTGCTCTGTCCGGCCATAATAACAGAGACCCATCAAATAACGTCGTCAAGATCATAGTTCTTGTTGTCGATGAGAATTCAGCAGGAGGGGGGGGGGCGATTGCGGGACCATACCGACCGCAACATGACCGTCCGGTGACGTCGCTCGATCAGACTTCTTCCCTCACTGCGAATTCACTAGCCGGGGGCTGTCTAGGCCGTTTGCAATGATAATGTGCAGGTTTCATCTCAAACCACGATTTTCTCGGCATCTCTATTTGAAATCACTACCCAGAATATCTGATGCGACTCTGCATTTGAAGGCACACACCGCGCTGAATTGAAAGCTACTTCATTGCTGATGTTCTTCCTCGCCATGTTAGAAGGGGGGGGGGTCCACCAATGAGAAGTTGCACTTCTTGTAGTAGCTCCTCCCATACTAGTCGAACGTCGAATGAAATTGTGAAGCGTCTTCAAGCACGGTGGTATTATTAGGTTGGTCGAAAAGTCCTGCGACACTTTGACCAATTTTTCGGACTAAATTTTCAGTCACTAAAAGACATCTCCAATCTACAAGGTAATCACCACTAAGGACTAGGACTAGTGCCCTTCTTTTGCACAGCTTCTCATTTCCATTCTTATAGAACTACGGCAACTATGATAAGAAGAAGAGGTGGACCTCATTTTTGAGTAGACGTCGATTTTCGGAATTTTTGCCTTCTTAAGGATGCGGTAGGGATCAAAAAAGGTAGTAGTTAGAGACTGCTAACTTTGATGAATAAGCTGGGTATGGTCGCATTCTCAGATCAAGATCCACGATCTTTTGGTGTGGCCTGATCCTAACATGCGGTCTTCGCATTGCCGAGCGGTAGAGAAAAATTGAGTATTTTTGAAGAATTCAAGCGTGACGTCATCCATGTTGTGAGGTTGGTTAGAGTGGACTGTAGTCCTTACCGTTATGCTAGTATCCAGAGATACCGCTTTGAAGTCCCACCAATAACCTACTGAAATCTTTATCCCATGCACATCTGCTTTTGGCTGTGCAATCTACTTTTCTCTCTGAGAGATCCTGCGAGGAACATGTGCAAGATGTACGCAAGGACCCCACCACTCTCTACCACCACAAGATCTCACAAATGTTCCTCCAGTGTGTACAAGGAAAAAAACTCAGTCACGGTCATTCGGTATGACTTGTCAGAGGGGTTCAACTCATGAGGCATCCTTCATAAAAAATTTTTCCGATAACCGAGACTGCGGAGAAGCATGGCAGTTGTCAGTTAGGTGGAGCCTAGAGAGGTTGCCAACTTACTGGTGGTTACGTTCGGCTGCGCCTCAAGAAGCTTGAGTAAAGGGCCGTCATTCTGTGCTGGTGGCCGACCTATACATTGCCTACTTCCGAGTTGAATAAGTCCAGCCTGGAAGCGCTGATGCAGATGGAACTCTCTGCTATGGCGAGCGATATCCTTCCTCAAGACAACGTAAGTGTTAGCTTCCTCGACTATGGCGGAGTTGCCCTACAGGAACTCATAATATGGGATAGGTCGAGAAGTACCTCAATCTCTGAGGTATTTTTAAGCTTTGAAAACTTCCACGGAGCCATGATATACCCATTTTCAGAAACCTCAGGAGACAGTCTCCACTAATCAGAGATAAAAACATTCAAAATGATTTTTGGTCTTTTTCTAGAATAGTTCAAACAAAGTGTCGCAGGACTTTTCGACCAACCCAATACCTTCAGTGACGGCCTCCAATCTTCCTTTTAGGCACTTTATGAGCACGAAATTCTGTTGAAAGGCTTATAAGGCTATACCAACAAGGTGCAAGGAAGGGTTGGGATACGTTATCAAGACAGTCCAGGACCCTGTGCAAGGACATGATGGCTCTGAATGTAACAATAAGCGGCAGCACGGATTACCCTCAGAAGGCGGCATTTACGGGACTTCTAGTGTAAAGCTGGAAGTATCGCATCATGAATGAAGAGTTCTTCCTAGACCCAAGAGTGGAGGAGCTCCGGTATGGGTAGAACTGCTTGATGTACCGCACTTCTATTCAGATGAGCTACTCCCAGTTTTATCATTGTAGTTCTGTCCCCTCTTAAGGTCTCAACGCGAAAGCTCCTAAACATTAAGAGGAAAGGAAATTTCCAGAAGCAAATTTCAACTGCAACTTACTATATTCACACGAGTTACCATGAGAAGTTATTCCTATTTGAGTTAATTTGTCTTCTGGACCATTTTGGAAAAGCGGACCCCCACTATCCGCCTGAACAACGGAGCAATTTCTGTACACACAGTCTCATTCAATGAACTGATTAGATTCGTGCACTGAAATTTACTCACAGCACAGAGTCCTATTCCAAGAGGGGTCTTCACTATAATGCTTTTGTTTCTGTGCTTCACTGCAACGATGTCTTCTATAAACTGTTGCCCTTTCGGTCTATAATCCGGGTTCTCGTAGTCTGCTGAAACGTTCTGCTGAGATTACCAGATCCCTAATTGGTGACAGTGAGATTGTTCTTCCCTCACCAGTAGTCGGTCACTTCCGCAGCGTGCAGAAGTGGGAAACGTTACAGATAACCCAATACTTGTAGTGCAGCTACCGTGGCCGGGTACAGCATCTTCAAAACGATCTAATGAGAGGTCGTACTCAAGGTATAGCATCGGTGTGCGAAAGCCATCGAGGCGAAGGGGGAGGGTAGTTCGTACTTGGTCGCTGTGGAGGGAGGGGGGTCGTAAACGAAGGGTCGGTGAGCAAGAAACAGCACATATGGTGCTCATCATTGCAGACCGGTGGGGCGGTGCGTGTGACTCGGCTGTGACGCGACTGTCATCGCTGCCGCGTCACAGCCGAGTCACACGCACCGCCCCACCGGTCTGCAATGATGAGGACTGTATTAAAGGCACATTCCGCGATAAAATAAGGCTATGACCTCTCAAATGTGTCGGACGATCCGGAAGGCGATTTTTGAGGCTGCGCTACTTTCAAAATGTGAAAAACGGCAAGAACTCCGCTAGAAGCTGACTAATTAGGCCCATGGACACCCCTTAGGCCCATGCCGACCCTCACCGGCTGCTAGCTACTAGCTAGTAGCCACTATGTTATCTTTCTCTATAACATTTCGGACTGCTTTTTCTGCTGCTTTTCTCAGCAGATACTTAGCACTTTTTTGTGCCTATCTGAGTTCCGTTTCTCGCAATTTGCGGTCGCGAACTGTGCCTTCAAGTGTCATCGCTGAGTTCGATGGAATGGGCAGTAAGCTGCAAAGGCCCCGGATGTAAAGAAGACTAAAAAATATCAAGAATAAGAATAATAAATATGAAAACAAATTTCGTAAGCAATCTCAACAGTTAGCATGATCGTAAGTACGTAGATGGCTAAATAATACATCTCGAAACAGATTCGTGCGTATCGACCTTTCCAAACCCTAGCAAACATCTGCTTGCATGGACAAAAATCACCTAAAATCAGAAGTTACACCTTTCCACCACCTCTGCGTAGAAGCGTAATGCACGGCGCACACTCTCGATCGATGATAACCAAATTATGCTTTGACTCAGTTATCGGGAATATGTGTTTTGAAGGCATATTGAAGTTCGCGAATGAGTATCCTTACAATGGCACAGAGGAGTCGAGCTTTTGAATGACTCAGAATGTGTCTAAGGGTGACCCATTTTAAATATCTTCTGAACTAGCGGGTCTTCAGGGAAATTGTACAGCTTTTTGGAAAGAGCACGTATTGAGCGTCCTACATGCCGCCTTCCGTTTTCCAAAAGCCCCACACCTGAAAAAGCTATCACTCCCAGAAAAGCCCCGCGATTCCCACCCGACCAACAGATCTGCTCCACCGCTAATTTGCCGTGGAATCATAGCGCGGCCGCAGACGCTCGCGAGTCGTCACGCATCTAATCCTTCTCGAACAGGCAAACAATTATAGCCGGGGAGGGGGTTGTACTGAGATCCTTCTGGGGAGTCGTACTGACAGCGCCATTTCACACACCACGATGCTATACCTGGTCGTACCTGGTCGCTTGAAGTAGAGGGGGAGGGGCGTACCTGGTTTTTCTGGTTGTTCACCTTTCAAGATTTTTTCCGTTTCCTGTATGTCCTAGTGCCCGCTTTTGCCCCGCCGTTGAATATTGCACAACTACTGTTTTTGTTAGTTGGGATTAGCAGTTGACGCTATCCCCCGGACACCATATAAGAGTTTTGGGGTGAATTGGTAAAATTTTTGGGAATCGGGAAAAGAGGGAAGAGAAATTTAGGAGAATGGTAGATGATATCGGATTGAGGGGTTTTAGTGATAGCGCCACTCAACTCTTTACAATCCTCTGCCCTGTGCTTTGACCACTTTTTTAACGAGCACAGAAGTTCTATAGTATGCAAAGACATACAGTCGTCATCCTTGCACTTGATAGGGGCGTGTCGGCGAGAAGGAGCGTGCACACTGTTTGAAGCCTTCTCAGCCTTTTCGTTGAAACGCGTATGCGACAAAAAGTGATAGAAAACGAGTAACACGAAGGATATAATACAGTAATGTCACTTCCTGGTTCAACGATTGGTGCAGTACGGGTGCGGGCGACCGCGCCGCACGCAGCCGCACTGACATTGACTATCAAGTGCAAGGATGACGACTGTATACAGGGGGGGGGGGGCAAAAAAAAAGTCACTTCGACCGAGTCACATATCAGCAAAGTTTTCGCAGCCCAGACAGAGGACGTGGATACGAGTACCAGGGCGGAAGATACCCAAGATGTTCCTCTATAAGCAGGAGCTGGCTCTCGCCCATCACCTTCATGTACACCAAAATATGAAGTCATCTCCAGTCGCAGCCTGACTGGAGAAGACCTTTGGAATTCATGTCACCTCCAAACAGCTGCGAAACTTCTAGTATGGAGTCACCCATGGGTAGCTACCTGGAGACCAGTACTCTCGATCTGGATGACCTCCAACATCGAGCAGCTCCGACAACGTCGCTACGGTCTAGGACATCATCTTCACCACAGTCGCCAAGGCGCGGTTGATGGTATGGACCGGACGTACCTGGAATGGAAAGACCAATATTTTCTTCGTGGACCCCGGACTGAAGGTGAGCGCTGGCGGTTACATCGAGCAACTCGTGAAGAATATCCTCCTCACATGTCGTCGCCCGTACCTTCTTGGAAACTTTGTACTGCTACAGCATTGGGTGCCACCACATGGAAGGGCGTTGGAGAAACTCTCGCCTACTTGGAATGGAAGGGGCTGAGTACCTAAAGAAGATGGAATATCCAAGTAGGTCACCTGACCTGAATCCCCTCAGTTACCCGGTTCGGGCGGAGTTCAATAGGGTGGTCTACGGTGGCGGAGAAATCGACTATCTCGCTGATCTCAGGCACCACATCGCGGTCGCGTGCCAGAATCTCTCGATGGCGCTCGTCCAGAAGGCTGTGGCGGAGTGTCATGATAGTATTTAATATGCTCTTTAATATGGTGGTAAAAATGCATAAAGTGTAACTTATAGCGCCTCGAAACTCAATGAAGGAAAGTGACTTTTTTGCCCCCGCCCCTGTATTTTTTGCCCCCTGTACAACAATGAAGTCAGTTGAGATACAGGGGCGCAGTCTCACGAGCAGTGCGAAATGGACCGGCGCCGGGTTAAAGCTCACGCCCATCCGATCAAAACGTACGTCCTGTCATGCCGGCTCAAAACGTACGTCCTGTCATGCCGGCTCCTGCTGCTTTTATGTTGTGCTTCACCCTAGTATTCTTTTGCGGCAAACAGATCGGTGTTGCCATAAAATTGGGGATATTTTCGTCATGTTCTAATATTGCTATATCGTTGGTTCCACGGCACTGGTTAAAGTCCTCATGGAAGTACGCCTAAATACATTTCATCATTTCGAAATGTTCACTGAATGATCGCTGGAATGAAATCCTGCTCACTTTTGCTCAACTAACCTTACTTATCTTCAGCCACCAACTTTTGCATTTTCGAGGATCAGCGCATCGTGTACCGATGAACATACTCCAATTTTCAATTTTTCCATTCAATTTCTTTTTTCTGGCATTGAAAAAAAAACTTTTAGATTAGATGCGGTAAACATATGTACTAGGTTGGCAGGGAACTTCAGTCATTTTTTCGAATATACTTTCTTTTAGAGAGGCGTACAAGATCAAAATTATACAGCAATGTTATTGCGGGGTTCTTGCCAGTTTTTGAGCACCTCATGGATGCCATCGCTTCACAATGCAGGCCGGCGCGACGCAAAGTTGGACATCATCTCAATTTTGACTTGGGCTCGGGTCGTGGAAGGTTTTCTCGTCCATATAACGGGTAAGTACGGGAGGCAACTAGCAGTTAGAAGGAGCAATGTCTGGGCTACACCGGTGCAGGGGAGAGCCATCCAGCTCTATTGCATGAGGTTCGGCTCGAACTTTTTTGGACGGAGGGGGCTGCACCATCACGTTGAAGACGGACTGTGCGGACGAATTTTTCCCTCTGCTTGACGGTTCAATTCAGGTGCAGTAACTGCTTTGTGTACGGACTGATCGGGGACGTCGTTTCTTTATCCAGTAATTTCACGGCCCGCAGCTCCCTCAAGCTGAGTTCACATGCATGTACACCCAAGCCTCACTTCGTCATCAAAACTGTAGCTCCCGCTTTGAAGCATTAGCGTCGTGGAAGGTTGTCCGATAATTGAGGGCATCGTACTTATGCAGCTCCATTATTTTGGCATCGGCAGCTGTCATGCTGACGGTAGAAGAAAGAGTTTGAGGAAGCGCTTGGAGGGGTCGGTGCCGATGGTAGCGGATAACATTCCTTGTCCATATTGCAAAGAAGAAGAAGCAGGAGTCAAGCGAGTGGTACTAATAGAAAGATCATTCCTTGATGTATAAGTGCTCACATTACCGGTTACCCCTCTTCAGGTAATGGGCAAGTATTTTGAGTTCAAAAAAGTATGACAGAACTTTCCCGCCAACCTAATAATTGCGTACTCTCTTCTAACTTGGCGGTGGATGCTGTTTTCATTACATATTTTCATTTTGAGACGAGTGTGATAATTCTGTCCAGAACAAGAACAAGTCGACAATTGTCTCAATTTCAAACGTCCCACAAGTAATCTCACTCCATTTGCAAATGGAATACGCCGCCGGGAGCGTGGAGTGCGTACATTGTTGAGGAATTCCGATGTGTCTTGTTGACAACCGGTGACACCCTTTTTTGCCCAGTAGCCTTTAATGGCCCACCGTCTGCTCAGTGTACGTTACAATTGTGAATCACCTTTCAGTAGGGCCCCCTAAACACTACTACAGACCCGTCTTCACTCACCTCTCCACCCAACGATCCCCAGAAAAATTGGAAATGGATAAGGACATACATGCTATAAAATGCACGCTGTGAACATTTTTGAGAGTTGAGCACCCTCCTTATTGATGAGGACACCTCCTAGAATACCGAAAAGATTCTCAGCTCCTCGAACCCCAATTAAGGATTACTCTTGCATGATGTGTGGAGCATGCGACGGAGCACTCCATTTTGGTATCAGCGCCAACGATTCTCAAAAGAAACCTCTTCTTCCTTTTTTCGCATTCACTTGGACCTTTCGTGGATTCATCAGTTTTTACTATGCAATGTGCAGCAGTGAGGACATGGCGACGAGAGATAAGTGATCCACTACATTCAACACCTGAAATTCCAAAAGAAGAAATACCACACAAGTATGCTATCGATTTTACCGTACTATTGGCATCAGGGTACAGCATCGTAGTGTAAAACAGCGCAATAGGAGGCCGTACTTTCGGCTAGGGAAGGGGAGGGGTGGGTTAGTTGGTCGTTGTTGGGAGGAGGGGGAGGGTCGTATCTGGCCTCAAGAGGAGTTTGTCGAATTTGGGCAAATTTCATGGTTGTTGACTTTTCGCGTGATTTTTCCTGATT